TCAGGTTGTAACAGTCGTGAGACTGCTTCGGAGACCCCTTTTATGTAGAGAATGGCCCTCCAGACGTGGGGTTGCTTTTGTACTGGCTGTCGTCTGTTCACTCGGCGTCTGCTTTGTTTTTTTGATCTATGCCATGGATATAGTCTCAAGGCGTGTGTACGGATTCGCTAGCAACCATGTTGATGCACGTTGCTCAAAGGATGCTTCGCAATAAACGATCAAAAAAGACCTCTACCCTTCACTTGTTTCTGCGCACAAAGTCTAGATTTCGCAACTCTACGAGCAGAGAGACCAGACTGGTGAACTTTACAGCAGAGTCTTTATGCTAATCACAAATACCAAGACCGACACAAAAAGTTGTCTTGCAGCGATTCACCTAACGATGCCGTCTGTACTCGCCATGGTCTATTTTCCATTGGCATCGCTGAGTTCATTTTAAACGCAGTTTTGCCTCTGTATTCTACCAGTATTTTGACATAAAACGCAGGATGAATCCAATAGAACCCTACTAACCGATGTGCTTTGTCAGCTCGTGACAGTCGAGTCGCTTAGTCGCACAGAAAAGTGTTGCTCAACCCCACCAGGTGTAAACTGTGTCTTTCACGACTGAGACTACGTCATTTCGATGCAGCACACAGACATGTGAATACGTCATTTGTGCTGCCCAGTACCACAGTACGCACAGTGCGGGTGGGTAATGCTAGGCTGGCTTTAGTACATGATGGGACTCGGGGACACTTATCGTTATTTGAACAGTCACGTTGGCTAGAAAGAATAATTGTTTACTCGAGGTTAAAGTGATGCCAAAGTCAACATATGTGTCCATACAAGTAAAATGCGCAAATCACGCGCTCGGAGACGTCGAAATTCCTGGAATGGATGCATTTGCACTGACTTCCATTTTGAGAATAAACTCCTTCGCAGTTATTAGAAGTAATGTACAGTGAAAATTATTTCGCCAGTTTTCCGAAAAAAAAAATATCCTTTTAAAATTGGGAACTCAAGCAAGGAGAAGATTTAGATTTTCACAACGTCTGCAGTTATGAAAATGTTCGATGAAAATATGCTTATCCACATAGTCTGCCGGCTTCAGCACGGGTTAAAATGTCCACAATATGAACCAAGTATACGTGAACATTTCATGAGCACTAGCAATTCTCTTTGTATAGTCACGAACAGATACCAATGCCGTTATTTCATGTAAATGCATTGTCATCGTTTTAAAATCAAGAAGAAGCAGAAGAAATAAATACGCGGATCGTTATGTTGAACTGCTGTCTTCGGCAGAACGTGGGAATAACTTCAGTAGGTTTCTTATCTCATAAAAGCGTCAACCGAAATTGCGAAATATGCTTTCAATGCAAGCAAATTAATTAACTAGGGTTGTAATATGGATCATCATGCAACTTAATCCCAAGATATTTCAGTCACGGCAAGATGCTGGTTTTTGAACGAGCTTTATTCTGGCTGCCTTCAAGAGGCGTACACTGTAAAAATGGCTACTTAAGAAGCATACATTTTTTGCATTTATTTTC